GGGTGTCCCCAGCAAGACACATCCTTGCCAGCTGCCCCCACATCCCCACCGCCAGCCAGGGAGGCTGCCATGCCCACCAGCCCCCTTGCCAAAGCTTTTGGGGGGGCAGCAAGTGGCTGGTTTACCTTCCCCCCAGCACTCACCTCATGATGAAGTCAAACTCGGAGCTGGCCAACATGAGGACGCCCAGGAGGGTGGAGACGGCGCCGTCCATCACGGGGGCGAAGGTGTGCTCCAGCGCCATGGCTGAGCGCACGTTCCTGCTCCCCGCCGCTGTCAGGAAACCCTGCGCGGGGTGGGGATGTCACCCGGGGCTCGTTCCCGTGTGCCACCCATGACGTGGCCGCCCATTGGTGCACGGCCAAGGGGGTGAGGGTGCTGGGGAGTGGGAACTGGGGTGCCCGGAGGCCGGGCAGGGGTCTGCCTGTGCTCACCAAGGCCACGTGGACAGTGAATTCCACGCCGATGCCCACTGAGGCGATGAGGATGACCACAGGGATGGCGCTCAGCTTGATGCCCATCAGCCCCATGATGCCAAACAGCTCCACTGCCATCATGGCCAGGATGGAGACCTGGGGGGTGGTGGGGTCAGTGAGGGGTGGCTCTGCCTGGCTGTCCCCTCTGCCTGGCATGCCCGATCCTACCCCTCCATACAGGGCAGCCTCCTTCCCCTCTATTCAGGGTGTCCCTCTGCCCCATCTACTGGGGGTGGCCCTCAATCTCCTCTGCATGTCCCCAAACCCCTGCCCACGACATAAGTTCCCTTCATAAAGGGTGTCCCTGATCCCTCCATATAGGTTGCCCATCTGCTCCATATGGGTGTTCCCCCCAGGCCCTCTGCGTGGATGTCCCCAGACCCCTATCCCCTTCATAAGCGAGGTCCCTGATCCCTCCTTATGGGTGTCCCCCACCCACTGCCCCCTCCACATGGGTGTCCCTTCCACCCAGGGTGCCCCTGGCCACACCATCACCCCATCCCCATGAAGCAGGTACCCAGGGCCACCCAGCAGGACGGGAGCAGGGCTGGATGTCCCTGTCCCCACCTGTCAGGAGGGCAGCACGGCCGGTCACCTCCCCGACCCCATGCCTCAGGGGCGCGTACTCACGATGATGCCGGCCGTCCAGGGGTTGAGCAGCAGCAGGGCGCAGACGAGGAAGGTGCAGGCCAGCAGGATGCTGATGGCCAGCAGCGCAGGCCGATGTGCTGCTCCCAGAAGAGGAGGGGGTAGCCGCTGGGGTAGCTCAGCACGCCGTGGCGCTGGGCAGCCTCCCGGCAGATGGCCCGCACGCTCTCAATCGCCTCCACGAAGTCGGCTGTGCGACGCAACCCGCTCAGGTAGAAGGGGAACTGGGCAAACTCCAGCGGCTGGGCTGCCGGGA